CCCTCGAAATTTGCTTACCTATATCAAAAGGATCCAAGTCAGCATCATTAAATATGTAATTTATATTTTCAATACCTTTGTCGGGTTTTTTCTTGTGGGGTTTGCCACATATATGAATTCTTTGCTCCTGCGCCTTTTCACGTTCAAATAGTTTGTCATTCTTGATATCAATGAGTCCGGCGTTATGGCTATTCATTCCCTGTGGGTTTGAACTCATGGTTTCCTTCCTTTTATTCAAGCGAATGTCCTTCTCCCAAGTTTGTAATACCTGCAAATCAAAAACATTTCCTAGGGAAGTAGCTATGTTAATGCAGTAAGTGTACCCGAGGAATTCTTTGTAAGAGCATTCCATTTGTACCGTTTCCTTTTCTTGCACAAGCTTCACTATATGATCGTTAAAATAAGAGTCATAAACTAGAATGTAAAGAGGAACGAATGTACCAGTATCATCTTCTAGTGTGTAGCCTATGAGACTCGTATGCTTATCGGGTGGCCACTTTAGATGTTCCTTGGTTATCATGTAGTCCTTCAGTCCATCGATATTGATCCCAAATTCTTGTCCCTGTGTCCCGTGTTGCAGAAGTTTAGTTGTGGGCAGCACGGTATAGTTCTTGCATATTTTCTGCAATGTCATTGTGGTCTTTTCAAGTACAGATTCCTTTGACATTTCATCCAAGTTTTTCTCGGTTTCTTGGGCGGTCTCTTTTTGGTCATCCTCTGCTTCTGGAGGTCCCTTTTCAAGTATGACTTCATTTTTCTCAGTCACCACTATGGATTTGTCCTCGGGGCCATCCGTCATAGCCATTTCTCGATGCTCAAGATACTCGTGTCCTTGTTCCTGGTGCTCCTGGCATGTGGTCTCATGAGTAGACGCAATACAAGAAGGGATGGATTCTTTACCTGGTAGGACAGTTGGTGTTTCCTCCTCTTGTTGGAATTCTTTTTCCTTCGTCTTGTGCTCATCTTCGGTCCCCGTGAATCTATCTTTTGTGGAGACTTGAATAAGTACGTTTATGTCATTCTTTGATTCCACTTGTTTCTTGTTCATTTTTCGTTCTAGTTCCTGCACAAGATCCTGCAACTCAGCAAAAGTATATCGTTCTATACCTCGCTTTGACCCGTCCATAGTCTTTGATGTTGGTGTTGGAATACTACTTCGGGCTTGAGCCTTACATAGCCTATTTTGTTGGTTTTTGTACTCGATTTGGCAAGCTGTCTAGTAGCTCTTGGAGGTTTCGGTATGAATGCCTCTCAACTTTGCGGGCAATCCGCTCTTGGAGTCCACCTATGAAATGATCTATTGCGATTTCCTCGTCACCTTCTAGCTCTAGTTGGACCCGAAGTTGGTTAAATTCTTTGTAGTATTCTTCTACCGACCTATTGCCTTGCGCTATACACCTATAATCCTTTCGCACTTCTCGGAGAAGGTGAGGTGGAAGGTAACGTCTATGGTTAGGTTTGGTCCTTGATCTAGGTAGACTTCGATGTCTAGATGGTTCCTCAAAATCTATACCCTCTTCATATGTTCTAACCCGCTGCCTATATCTAGGCTCTCTAACAATGCCTTCTACGGGATCCGAGGTTGGGGTTCTAATGCGTCGTCAAGATAAATGTTTCACAACAAATGTTCGGAGGGTGAATAGCAACTTCGTGAATCAGATTTCGATCGGCACAGATTATGGATGGATTGATGATTGATTGATGATCAAATGAAGGTAAAATTCGATGAAAAACACAAACAAATACCCACTAAAACACGAACAGATTTCTATACTACACAAAACAGATTTTTAGCAATGTTCGAACAGATTTTTTATCAGGTTTGCGAGTAGTTTTCGATCAACCTAAGGAATAGTTTCGTCTTGATCAAATTACAAACATATTGTGGGTTGAATAAAGAACCAATAAACACAAACTCGCAGCAAAACACAAACAAACTCGCACTTAATAAACACCAAAATCTGCACACAACCGAAACAGATTTTTTTTTCGAACAATATGAAATGAAAACGTATAGAGATGGAGAGATTTCACCGAGGGGAAGCTGCGACGTCCTGTGGATGGTTGAAGCTCTGATACCAAAATGATGTAAGCACAGCGATGGATGGTTAGAAACAGTCCTTAACGCGATCACCCGCACTTCGGATCGAAGGCACTCGAACTCACGCAAGGAAATGAAGGATGGCTTTCGGTGGTTAAAGGGGATGGCTTTAGGATCAATCACAGACCTAGCTTGGCACTCGAACTCAATCCTAAAGTGGAGGAATGGATGAAAAATCGAAGGATAGGGTCTCGGACAGACCAAGACAAGATTGTCGGACAAACCGAGCACGAAATCGGGCAAACCGAGAAGGAGTGATTAAACTCGACAAAGAGAAACTTTCATTCAACCAATCTGCACGAAACGGAGTTCTTACAACATATTTATAGAGGATTAAGTAGGTAGCAACAGCTAGAAATACATTAATGATCAATCTACATGCAAGGTAGGTGGAGCCTTGGTCATTAATGGTAGTGGTTGAGAAGATACTAGCTGTTGGAGGTTCCTTGCAATCCAAGAAGCTTCCTTTGGTGACTTGTCTTGACTTGGATGACACTTAATCTTGCAAGGAGATGAGGTTTCACGTCTTGGTTGATCCGAAGGGAATGGAGCTCGTGTTTTGGCTCGAGTCAATGGTGGTTCGGCCCGAAAAACTTAGAGATGCATCCTTCGGTTTTTGTACAACCATCCTTGGCTCTTCTTGGACGTGGATCACCTTGTGATTTGATAGCTCGTCCTTCTATGTTTGAGATCCTAGCTCCATGCATTCCGTTTGAGCTCCTAGCTCCATGCCTTAATTCCGTCTCCTCCGAGCTCTCGTCCAAGTTTTTGTCCAATGCATCGCTAGTGGCTAAGATGTCCTCATCCCTACGTCACCTCAAAACACCAACAACATAGTTGTAATCACAATTCCCACATAAAAGGGTACTCTCATATTTTTCTACTTTGCGAGAACACTTTGAGGAAGATATATAGTTCCAATCATTCTATAACAGGACTTCAACCACTTTTGTTTGGATATACATCTCTTTATCCTACATTTTATAAAGATAAATTATTATATATGATTATTACACGATAATATATTTATGATTGAACGAAAAATGCATTAGAAGAACCACTCGTTATAATAACCAATATTTTTCTAAACCAAAGATTATGGAAAAAAATAAATGAGTACGATTAATTTTTGATTGTACTATATGAAAATGAAGTTATATAAAAATCCAAGGAAACATAGAAAAAAATATTAAGCATTCGAATCTGACACTGAAAAAATAAAATTTATTGTAATTATTTTACGTGTTCCATAGGTTATGGAAAAAAAATGTGGTATACATCATAAACGTGAAAAAAATTCTGGTAAAAAAAGAAATATATATGAAGAAAACCTTAAATACACATATGTCCATACATTTTTAAATCGAAAAAATCATTATTCCTAGGAATATTCGTGTGTGTGTATATATATATATTCCATTTCTCCATATATATATAGTACACATATACATACAGTAACTTACATATAAATCCATAGAAATAAACAGCTACTTACCCCATGTACTCAAACCAGTTTAGATTAAAAAAAAAATCAGCATACCTGTTCAAGATTAGTAATCATTCCTTGATTTTCTCAAAAATGATTTTTTTTATAATTAAAACAATGTAAGATTAGAAAGAAAAATTTTGTGCTTCTACGTTTTGTTTATAACGAACATCATTTTATAGACAATTTCAAAAATAAATACATTTAATTTGTTCAAAAAGAATTGATTAAAACTGATACATTTGATCGGATTAAAATTAATTAGATATGGATGAATATTGATCCATGTACCTGTATAGTATTGTCTATATTAACTTGTTTTTAAATACATGGTATCTATATGGAGAATTAATGAATTTATAGTAACTCTTGATATTCATTTATCTCTTAATACGTGCATAGCCTTCATTATTAAACTCTCATTCAATTCATTAGTTAATTGTCCAATTTATAACCCTTAGGATTCAAAAAAAAGGATGCATGTCATACTTCCGTCAAATGAAACTGTACTGATTTTAAAAAGTTGAAAAAGTAAGTGTAATTTTTTTTAAAATTAAAAATTATTATATTAGTTTAACTGTAAGTAAAAAATGTATATTGATATGATATTTTCCTTTTTCTTTATTATTCTTGTTCTCTCCATATCATATAATGATTCTTGAAATCTAAACTTAGGCATAATGTTCATGGAGATGTAATCTATAATAGAATTTTGCTGTAATATCAAATCAAAACACTAGTTTTGTATTTTATTTGGAATATGCGATAAATGGATTGGATAACGAAATCAAATTCTACAACAATCAGAATTAAAAAAAAATAATGTTTAATTAGATTAAAAAAGTTTAATATTTGCTTATGTTATTTCAATAATTGAGTATTGATTTAAATATTAAAAATAGAAAAATCCAATGAGTGAGTTACCTTGGCAAAGGGTAAAACTTAGTTAATAACAAGACCCGGTTGGATATTTCGGGATTCGGTTCGAAATTTTAACTGTTCGGTTCGAAAATAGTTTATTCGATATTTTAAAATTTATACTAAATTAATATCGTATATTATTCGGTTCGATTCGATTTCGGTACGATTTAAATACAATTTTTGTTAAAAAAAATTAGATTTTTTAAAGAAAATTTTGATTTTTGGAGAATTTTATAAAGTCCGCTGATTCTATTCAATTTCAGAGAATTCGGTTCTATAAAATATATACCGTTCAGAAATTTTGAATGGTATGATTCCGAAAAAATACCAAAATTTTTAATTCCATACGGTTAGCTTTTGGATAACCAAATCGAATCGCCCACCCTAAAGACAAAACCTGACTGAATTCCTTCAATGTTAACGGTGTCGTTTAGTATTTCCTTTGTCGCCACCAACATATCTTTGTTGGTATAAAAGCTCCCCCTTAAACCGATTTCTTCTCCCTTATCCCTCTATCCATCCGTTTCCCTTTCTCCCTTCGAAGGAATTTCAAGTTTGCGCAGAGGGTTTTACCCGTTTTCTGCTTCAGCATCTGCAAATTCCCGGAAGAACAAATTCGAAGACAACGAGCTCATGATTGAGGTCGGTGCTTTACGTTCTTCTTCCTTTCGAGGATAAAGTTGCGTGCTCTCGATCCTCTTTTTAGTGAAGTGGGTATTGTTTGATTTCGGTGAGAAAAAGTGAGAAAAATTTCGGGTGTGAATTTGTTTCCGCATGGTTGCGAGATTTATGACGGCGTAGCTTTATTCGACTTCCGGAATTTGGCGCCTAGGGGAGGTGTATGGATGCCGAGAAAATAGGAAAGAAAGTCCCTTTCAGCTTGAATTCGAAACGAGGCCGTATAAATTCTGATTTTGCTTCTGTCTGCCGCTCTTCGTTTAACTTTGACGATTCATTGAACAATGATTGTGTGTCTGGTAATGCGGTGGAATGTGGATTATGGGTTCGCTAATTGCTTAATGCTGTGGTTAATTGACGATTTTATTAAGTAAGCTGCTTCAATTGCCACTGATTTTTGTGTTCTGCCGAAATTGGGGTTTGGAATGTAGCTTTTATGAGATGCTAAAGTGATTAGCATTGTGATTTTTTTTTTTTTTGACAAAGTAGGTCCTTTGAAGTAAATGATTCGGTGCTCAGCTGGGGATAATGGTGTTGGTAACCCATAAATTGCAGGTAACTTCACTGAAATCTTAATAGCCATAAATTCTGTGTGTGTGTTTCATCTGTGTTTTTCTTCCTCATGTCGATCTTGTCTGAAAAATTCTATTCCTTGTTGCTGATTTTAGATCGGTTTCAATTCATAGGTAGCTATCATACTTGTTCAAATACGAAGCTTAACACTCTCAGTGCCTTGGAGTACTTTATTATCAAGTTAATACACAAATTACACCCTTCTGTTCATTGTTTAGATTATTAACTCGTTATCTTGTCTGTTTATTTCTTTGTGTTCTCATAATTCTATGTTAACTTACCGCCATGTTTTTTTTTTTCTTGTTATTATCATTTATAGGGTTCACAAATCCTGTTTCCTCGGAGTTCACCGACATGGAGCGAGGGCTTGTTTCTAAGGCAACCTGTTGCTAGGGTGAATGTTGTGGGGAGGAAAGAAGAATACTTGCGACTAAGACAGCCTTGTCGTTTGAGGTGAGAACTATAATACTTCACAAGCTGATGTCTCTTTCTCCATTTGGACTTTTACTACAGATATGTTTTGAGATCCATTCCTCGGACGTGTCTTCCCCATCGATTCTAGGGTAGATATTTAGAATGATGGAAAATTATGGAATGGGCCAAGCTAGAGTGTCAATGCAAGTAGAAGAAAAATGCTTCTGACATCTATTTTTAGATATCTTGTGGATTGAAAATATGCCTCTTTTCAGACTGATGCCTAAATGTCTGGAAAAAACAACCTTGTTAGAGGTTAGAGGTGACTGAGAGTCTGAGAATCATTGTCTATTACTTGCCCTAGTTATGTTGATGCAAGGATGAGATTGAAATTGAGACATGACTTGGTAAATATGAGTCTTGAGCTAGTCCTAAATGGCTCTTTGTAGTGGCATACCGACATTCCCATTCAATTCTGTGATCGATAAGAAAATTTACGTCATTGTAAAGATTATTTTGCGTGCCCTTGTCAATTTTTACCTCTTACATGGTTAAATAACCTTTTGCCTCGTTCTCTTTCCCATAACTAAATGGATTGTATGGAGGTTTTTCGTTCCTGGTCATTCCTTTGAGTTTGATCTTTACTATTGCCTTCTTCGTAGTTTATTTATCTTTCCATTTATGGTGATTGTTGCAAAGTATGACAATTTGTGCAACTCCTCTGCAGTTTAGGGGCCCCTTGTAATGGTAGGCTGAAGGCAAAACCTTTTGGAGTTACATCTTTCAAAGGTGGCATCCACAATAGTGACATTGGAGGAAGTGAGAACGGAACAAAAGTTACCAATAACTCGGTTAAACTATCTTACCATCACGATGATGACGAAAATAACCTAAAAGGCTCTCCAAAGGCGCAAAATAGGTCTCTATCATATACCTCTGACCCGGAGGACTCTATTTCAGGACAGCCATCTATTCAGAAGCTTTTTAAGAAATGGTTAACAATGTTGTGCTCTCAATCACCTGCTGAAGAAATCAATGGAGTTTTGGAGGAACAACTTCCTCCGGTGACAAAGCCAGAAACTCAAACAGAGATCGGGAAGACGGAAAGGGTCCAGCATACAAATACAGTCTGGTCCCTGTTATGGAGTCTAGATGCCACTATCAAGATTCCCTTGCTGTTATTGTAAGTATCAGTCTCGAAAGATCTTTCTTTTGTGGATGAGATCATCTAGAGAAACTATGAATATGCTTCCACTGATTAGATCTTAGGACAGATGCCAAATTATTTCTCTGTGAACCAACCATTTATACATCCGTTTACAATTTCTTGTATTTTGAGTTTTCGGGCAACATTTGTACTGAATACCTATTGCCTTCTCCGATTGCAGTATCCCGGGTTTTGTAGCTGTCAACGCAATCTATGGAGCCGGAGTTACGAAAGAGTTGTTGCCTTTGTGGGTGATCGGTCCTCTGGTGGTTGCTCTCTATATCAAGATGTTCCAAGGGCTATGTGCCTTATATGCCTTCTGCTTCAGTAAAACCGTCAATATCGTCAAAAACTTACCGGCTTATGCCATTCTTGCCTACAATTACATCATCCAAGGCAAACTCAGAGAAGACGTACGAGGTTTCGTGGTGAGACCAGTAGTGGCAATCAGAGGCATGGATTATAGGAAGGTTGCAAGAACCAGACTGAAGTTGTTACAAGACTGGATAGTTGAGAAGTACTTGGATTTCGTTGAATCTATATGGCCATATTACTGCAGAACTATCCGATTCCTGAAAAGGGCAAATCTGATTTGATGCATCGGATTCTCTCCCGAGCATTGGAACCAGATTTTTCTGAATTCTCTCGGGTCCGAGTTGAAAAGGGTCGACGCTTTTTTTTTTCCCACAGCCTCCCAAAAAAAAGATTTGCTGGGTGTTTGAGCTGGGGGAAGAGAAGAGGCTTTTGGATGGAGAGGACATGAAAATTGGATTTGCTGCTTGCTGGGTTGTGTTTGGTAAAACATGTTTTTGAGATTCTTGAATCATATGAGGCTTTTGGTGATGTCTGATCTGTCTTTATCCAACGTATATGTATACACTGTGTCACGTTTTTTTGAGGTTTCTCTTATAGGAGAGGTTGTCTTTATGCTTAGATTTCTTCTGTTTATTCATGTTTGACCTTAGCAGTGATCCATCATTGAAGTACTTACCTTTCCTTTAGTGGTGCTTAATTTGATTAATAATCCAATAATTTAATAGATCTAAACTGAAAAATGTATAATTTTAATCAAACCGAGTAATTTATTCATGTTTGACCCTAGCAATGTTTCATCAGCAAAGTGGTTATAATTTTTTTTAAAATCGAAAAAATTGAATTCAAATTAAATAAAAAAGTTATGGGAAAAAAATTAAAATGGTTATTTTTATTAATAAAAACTAATTTGAAAATCAAAACAAAAAATAAGCCAATTTAGTATTAGAATTGAATGATTATAATTTTTTTAAAATCGAAATAATTGACGAGAAATCTAAAATAATAAAAAAATTTACCAATTAATGACAAACACAAAACTTTTCAAGTGAAACTCGATTTCAATATTTATAAATTTCAATGAATTTTTAAAATTTGTTATTTTATAGTCGTCGGTAGAATTAAAATATATAAAAATAAATTATAAGATAAAATGGGTAATGTAATTTTATTTAAGTAAATTTTTAATCGAATTAAAAAAATTAAACTAGGTAAAAATATAAATTCTATAATTATATAATTTTTCGTAATTTGGCACAGAATTTGTGATAAGAGCAAAATAGCACTTGTAGAGATTTTATCATATTCACGAAAAAGGACCATCTCGACAAAACAAAAAGTGCCGTTTCGGTATTCGTTTCAGTTCAATTAAAAAATAATTCGGTCCATTTTTTTAATTTTATAAAAATATATATCAATCACTTATTATATTATATCCGTTAGAAATGGTCAAAAATCCGTTGTAAATTAACGTTTCCAACGGATTTCCAACGGATAAATCCGTTGAAATTTTGTCGTTGGAAATCGGTGTCCATTGGACAACCGTTGGAATTTTCAACGGAATTTCAACGAATTTTTCCGTTGGAATTTTCCAACGAATTTCCAACCGCAATCCGTTGGAATTTTCCAACGGAATTTCCAACCGATATTCGTTGGAATTTTCCAACGAAATTTCCAACCGCAATCCGTTGGAATTTTCCAACGAAAAATTCAAAACATATTCTCGATTCAAAACATAATTGAAATTTAGAATGTTTAAACTTTGAATACGATAGATTATGATTATATTTATATTTATATTGATTTTAAATATTTAAATTTTAAAATTTGAATATAAATGACCTATATAATTGTATATGATAGATTATGATTATATTTATATTTATATTGATTTTAAATATTTAAATTTTAAAATTTGAATATAAATGACCTATATAATTTATTTATATTTAAAATTATTTTTTAATTTTAATTTAAAATTTTATAATTTTTATATCGGATACGGATATTCACAAATATAGATGATGTGTTGATGGTTTCGTTATTTTTTTTGACGTCGTTATTGTTCGTGGAGGTTTGTGCTAAAAATATAAAAGTTTGTGTATTTTATTACGGGGTAATGACAAAAAAACATGAGCTTTGTGTATTTGGCAAATAAATACACAAACTTTTATTTTGGTAATAAAATACACAAACTTTTGGAATAATGGCAAAAAAAACATGAACTTTTTTATTTGGCAAATAAATACACAAACTTTTATTTTGGTAATAAAATACACAAACTTTTATATTTTTAGCGCAAACCTCCACGAACAATAACGACGTCAAAAAAATAACGGAACCATCAACACGTCATCTATATTTGTGAATATCCGTATCCGATATAAAAATTATAAAATTTTAAATTAAAATTAAAAAATAATTTTAAATATAAATAAATTATATAGGTCATTTATATTCAAAATTTAAACGGATATCGGTTGGAAATTTTTTTGGAAATTTTAAAAAAAAATTCCAACGGAATTCCAACGGATATCGGTTGGAAATTTGGATTTTACCGATATCCGTTGGAATTCCGTTGGAAGTTTTTTTTAAAATTTCCAAAAAAATTTCCAACCGATATCCGTTTGAATTCCGTTGGAATTTTTTTTTTAAATTTCCAAAAAATTTTATAACCAATATCCGTTGGAATTTTTTTCCAACCAACATCCGTCGAAATTCCGTTGGACATTTCCAACTAATTTTTCCAACGGATATCCGTTGGAAATTTTCAACCCAATTTTTCAATTGAATATGTTGAAAATTCCGTTAAAAATTTCCAACGGACATTTTCAACGGATATCTGTTGAAAATTTCAACAGAATTTTAACGGAAATCGTCGTTGAAAAATCGTTGAAAATCCGTTGAAAAATTTCCAACGGACAAATCCGTTAGAATTCGATGATTTTTTTGTAGTGTCGGTTCGATTCAAATTTAGTTTCAGTTTTTATTAAAAATTTTAGATTTTTATTTAAAAAAATCGATTTTTAATTTTTTAAATTCGGTTCGGTTTTAAAAAAAAATTATAGTTCTAAAACTTTAACAGTTCGGTTCGAAAATAATATCGTATTTTTTATTCGGTTCGATTCTAAGTTTCATCCCTTCTTAAATCTAATAATTTAATCCAAACCGAACTCAAAAATCAGGTCCCGGTTCGACCGGTCGAATTTGTCCGGTTTCCAGAACCTACTTATGGCGGGGTTGAGAAATTCGATTTTTTTTCATTCAAATCTCTCTCTCCTCTCTCTCTCTCTCTGTCTTCTCTCTGCGGAAATGGAGCAGATTAGCGGAGGGGATACGACGAAGAAGACGATGGATTCTCTGAGACTGATGGTCGAGAAAGAGATCCATGAACAGCGACAGAGAATCGAGTCCTTCACAACTTTGCCGTTCCAGAGATCCATGGATTCGTTAGTGGAGCGAGCACAAGCCACCGCTCGAAGCCAAGGTCTGCTAAACCCCCCGATTACGGCTTCTCCGATTTTGTCTCACTGAGTCCTGCACTACTTTTTATTTTCTTGGAATTTGTTGTTGTTTCCGGTTTTGTTTATCTGAGACTAGGGTTTTGGCAGTGATGAATTTTGAGTTTATCACTGGGATTGTTAGACAGATGCAATGAGAAGGTTATCACTGACATTGCGTTTTTTTGGGTTTGATTTGTAGTGGAACTTGCAAAGATGAAAGCGGAATTGAGAGAAGCAGAGGACGAACTCGTTAGAGTCTTGGCAGGTATGACCTTCACTCTATGGGCTTAAGATTTTGAGCACATTATTGCTATCCAGTAGTACATTTTTCCGATGCCTGGATTTCTTCAGGGAGGTTTCTGAGCCCTATTTTGCCCGGAAGAAACTGTTTTATGTCTGGTTCAAGCATCTGATCGGTGCCTGATCTTTGTGGGAGAGATTTTTTGGTGTTTAAACAGATTCCAAGAGAATCTGTATTTCCTTCATGGCTGCTTGCATCTGTTTTTCTATTGTAGCAATTAAGATTGCATCCAACTTTTACATTTTGATGCAGCATCGTGTAGTATTATTGAGCTCGAGTATGTCACCTCTGAAAGCTTCTATTTTTCCTTGTTTGACATCTATAGTGAAGACACGTAAAGAGGCGAGGCAAATGGGGATAAGGGATATCATATCTGCTACAAAATCTAGAATCGAAGTGCTTAGAAGAACTGTACAATTACAGAAGGCTAAGAAGGATGAATATGTGGCTGTTATCTCACAACAATTGCAAGGTGTTTTCTTCTATTCTGATTTTTATGAGTGTGAATCAAACTTTAGTTTGTGTTTTACATAAGAATATTTTGAGCCAGACATTATGAAACTTTGTAAGTTGGTGACCTCTTCCTTGAGCCTAGCACTTTGCTTAACTCATACGAACTTCGAAGTTGTTCATTTCATATCCTGGAATACTACTGATCTGATGACGTGTGGAGAGAGGGCAGCAGTTTTTTTCGTTAAGCTTTCTGCCTTTGGGTGCGATACATGATGCTGTATGAGTTGTTTTCTGGTTTCTCGTTCTCCCTTTGCTAACGTATTTCTTTTTCTTTCATCTGATTGGACATCCAAAGCCTTAGAAACTTCCAAAGAGAATGTTGGTAAAGACATTGAAGACAAAGGAGATATCGAAGAAGCCATCTCTTGGTACAATCGGGTTCTTGGTTTTCATGTTGAAGCAGGACATGGTAATGAAAGTCATTTGAGTTGGTAAAAATTATAGTTCTTTTTGTTCAAACTTGATCACTTAACTTGTTGTTTGCGCCTCTTACAGGAGTAAAATTCAAATTCACCAATGTTGATGCAAGCAATCCAAACCGCGAATACTCGATCACAATTCACTATGGAAATAACATATACACATGTGAGTAATCTTTCTGAAGTTTCAAGCCCGAGTTTTAATGTTGTTCAAGACTCTCATAACATATGTTTTATAATCTTCAGTATTGGATTGCAACCCTCAAATGAACGACATCAAAGAGCTGGTTCAGGAGTTGAACGACACCAACGACCTTTTCAGATTTGTTCGGTTGATGAGAGAGAAATTTCTGAAAGCTACATTACCTGGTAAGGGAACACTGTGATCTTTCCGCACTAAATGTAAAAGTTTCCATTTAGCATTCTGTGTTTCATGTACATTTAACTGTAAGAACCAGCATAAGGGTAGTTGAATTGGCCATGGCGCCGCCATGGTTATATGGCGTGGCCCTTTTTTGTGATTCCGCCACATATGCCACATATCCAAGCGGGAATGGCGTTTTCGCCATTGGCCCATTATGGCGTCAAAATTTATGGTGTTCTGGCGGGCCATGTGGCGAAGATCAATAAAAAGGGAAACCAATTTAACCAAATCGGCAGAATTGGAAACGTTTTTGTTAGTGCAATTATTTGCACATGTGTTTTTTTTTTGTTAAGTAGTTATTGCAGGTTCAACAAACTTGAGAGATTTCAGGAGAAGAATCCGGCGAGATAGAACTCACGCAATTTTGAGGTACAACTGACGAGTTTGAGATAAAGTAAAAGACTAAGAGATTAAGATGAACTCAATGTCAACCACTTGGAGAGATTTTAGGAAAAACAATCTGAAGATATAGAACCACGAAGTTAAGCCACAAAGTTTGGATTTGACTTGAAGAGATGAAGATAGAATCAAAGCCAAGAAGATTTGAGGAGATTTGAGATAAAGATAAGATCTTGGAGATAAGGTCAAAGGCTGAAGAGATAGAGTCAAACAAGAGATAAAGATGAGATCTTGAAGATAAAGATGAAATCAAAGAAAATCAAAGAGGAGTCTATCAAATCAATTCGTGGAGATCTAAGGCGAACTGGAGGAGCCTATATAAAGGAGAGAGCAAGTGCATATCAGTTCTCACGGAGAGCAAAGCATATTTTACTAAAAGAGAGTCTTTTTGTTGGTGAGTGATAACTCACTTTTGAGTGAGTGTGTGTCTGAGGAAGAGACCGATTGGGCAAATCTCTTTCCTCTGGTGAGTGTTTGGGCGTGGATCTGAGGGGGAGACCTAATGGAAAAATCTCTATTCCTTTGGTGAGCGTTAATGTTTAGTAAGGTTTTTAATCGGTAGAATTCATTGTGAGAGTGAGTTGAAACTCAGGGGGAGTTTCATCTGGGTGTTGAGTAGCTCTAACAAAAAGTGAGTTGTATTTGACTTTTTCTCAAGTGAATAGAACTGATTAGTTTTTCCGTTTTACTCTTTGAGGGTCCAAACTTCTTCAGTTTCCAAATGAAAAAAGAAAAATTGCCAAACCAGAAAAATAAAAACTTTGCAAAAAAAAAGGAGAATGCAGAGTTTCTACCACGTTCTAATGTACATTCAATGACAAGTTTCTATCACTCTTTTATTATTTATTTTTTTATGAACATCGTTCTGCCACCTAGCATATGTTAGGTGTATATATATATATATATATATGTTATAGGATTGTTCATATTTATCTTCAAGTGTTCATGTTCATACTTTTTTAGATATATAATGTTATATTATAATGATGATATATATTTTTAGCCATATAATGTTATGTTATGATGATGATTTATTTTGTTTATCCTTATAAATATGATATATTTTTTGAACCGTCATGGCGTCCGCCATATATTCATGGCCTATATTTTGTTTGACGCTGTGAACCGCCATACGCTATTGTTAACACAGTTGAAAACTCTGTGCATGTAAAGCAGATGATGCTAGTGAATCACAGATACAACATGGTAAATCAAAGTGGGTGAAGGGAAAGAAAATATGTGAATCTTGTTTGTAGCTCCAAGATATCGCCGGATTTTATGAATTTTCAGATTTTTGTTGATTTACACAAGTTGATGGCAAAGACTTGTGCTTTTGCTTTGAACCAAGCCGTTATCTCTGCATACCGAATTTACAGCACCAAAGTATTATATGACTTTCTCAGGGTTGTTGCCAACACAGTCAGAAAATATACATCAGGAATCTTCGATGATATCTATTTCTGCGCCCGTGACATCGTCTTCCATTGACACAAGCAGCATGTCTACACCGGAGAGCAAAGAATCTCGGGCTCTTCATGAAGTGAATCGGCAACACAAAAGAGCTAGTTATGGGACACCGGTTGCATCTCCCGCATCTTCTTGTCGTCGTTCTTCACGTCTTAAGGTAAGATTCTTTTCATATTGTTGAGTGACTTGGCAGGTTTTATTTCCTGATTGATTCATGTTGCCTGAATATACTGATCGTTTTAAGGAACCTGAAATTTTTGTTTAAACCACGCTAATGCTAATTACAGGCTAAGAAATGAAGTTAATGAAACACTTTCGCAAGCTGGTTTGAAGGAATACCACCAAAATGTTAATGCGGAGACTTGTCAACACTTTTGTTGTTCGGATGAATGAATTCATGTAATCACGACGTAATCTTACTCAAACCAATATGATTTACGCTTTTACGCCCAGTATATATATGTGTATGTATGTGTGTGTGTATATAAATGTTCATTTAAAATCCGATGGGTGGCAAAGAAAGGAGTCAAAGTCGAAACCATAATCTCCAATTCGAAGTTGAAACCTTCATCCCACCGCGGTTGCCACATCCCTCTCGGCTCCTTTGGTTTCCTCGCGGGCGATGCCTTCTCCCCCATCTCCTTTCTCCTTGACTTACTTGTGGGTTTGGTTATCCGTTGGACAGAATCTGAATAGAAGGTTAGATTCTCGATGTCTAAAAACCCGTGTTCGATATCTCGGCAGTTTGGGTTCCTGAACTCTCGGGAATGTTGGACAGATATCCGTACTCGGGTACCCAAGCCCAGCCAGTAGTAGTAGTCGAGACTCATTTGATCACACACTTTTATGTCCTTAAAAGGAAGACGACCCAGTTGAGAAATTAAACCAACAACTCCTCAAGAACAAGGAGCAGCAACACGACAGCACTACGGCAAAATTCAGTCAAGAAGAATAAGGCTGTCAAGACCGATACCGAACAGAAATAGTAGCCGAATCATAACAATCCCACATCGGTGGAATTTGAGACCAATATATAAACCTCTACTCTTAAATTAATTTTTGTACTAGAGTTAGGGTTAAACTACATCAATTGATATTCGAATTTGGTTCTCCACTCATCGGTGCTCCTGGACCATATACAAGGAGCTTTAGCTTTAGTGGTAGAGTTAAAAGGTCCAACTATATCATGATCTCTCTACATCTCACTTGAAACGGCTTAGACAATGCTACTTTTCTTTTTTGAAATATTCAGTATGTAACATACGAATGCCCAGATCATGACAAAACATTGAAAAAGTTTTAAGCTTATAATATTATACACAGAATAAGCTTACTTAGATTTTACAGTAGTTAAGTACACCAGAGGCTTTGGAAGTTGTGGATGCAATTACTAATCAGTTCCCTCTCAACTGGGCTTCCCGGCTGGTCAAAGGAACATAACGGACCGATGTCTCACTGTGGATGCTCACCGAACCATCCGAATTCTTGTCCACCACCTTCAGATCCTGGAATATGTTCCCCACCGGGATCACCAGCCGCCCCCCTGGCTTCAATTGATCGATCAGAGGCTTCGGGATCTCGGGTGCTGCTGCCCCTACGTGAATAGCATCATAAGGCGCAAACTCGGGATACCCTTCCCTTCCATCTAGCCAAGGATGAGCCAAACATGAGACTTGTAATTATAACAGAAACGGAAAAAAAGATAGGGGTGGTAATTTGGTTCGGTTATGCATGATCCAAACTGAACAACATATAACAGTAACCGAACCAAACCCGATGAAAAAACCGGGCTTGAACATGAACCGAAACCGAACCAAATGTAACATAAAATCCTAATGGATATAGATTTTCTAAAACCGAAAGAATCAAACACAAATATAACTGAACCGAAACTTGAAATGCCCACCCCTAAAAAAAAGATACGAACAAAACCCCAGGCTTGCACAGTAAAATGATTTCATGATCCGATTAACTCACCGCCAACATGAACAGAGAGAGACCCTTCTTTCAACAATGGCGCAGCTGCACTCTTTTCTATATTTGCGATGGAAGAGGCCACCAGCTCGGGAATGTGTTCTACACCGACAGCACGGCCTTCGGGTCCAACCATCAAAGCAAAGCAAGCAGTCAAGTACCCGGTCCCTGTCAAGACAAGATTGTGATGAACACTTCTTCCTCCTCCTGTTAAATGAAACGAATCATCAAATGCAATGGTCCCAGTACAGAGGAACCGATTTGAGACAAACCAGAGCCAACATCAAGAACATGCATTCCGGGCTGCAGATTCTTTTCCAAAAGTTGAAGGCACATCGCGTGCATGTGAGGTGCAGATATGGTGGCGTTATACCCTATAGACATGGGGCTATCGGCATAAGCTGGGGATCCATTCGGTACAAAGATTCCTCTGTCTACGGCCTCCATAACTTCAGCAACCTTTTCCGAAGTAATTACACCATACCTCCGCAGGTTCTCCACCATCCCCTTGTTCTTGTTAATACTGCCCTGACTCCAGAATTGCTGCACATTGATAACAATGTAGATTCAGGCCACAACCTAGTAAGTAGATAGTGAACAGAAATGGAAAAAACAATGGAGAGAATCAATGAATCATCCATTTCAAAGTATTGCATTCGGGTAATGGGTATTAATCTGCAGAAATCACTGATACCCTTTAAGTTTTGGAGTTTAATTTCAACCATTTGACAATAACTCGGAAACGGGGAGATCTGTATGTCATGACATGGTGACATGGAGACTCTTTCTAGAGTTCTTGATATCACAAAGCATTCCATGAAATGCAATTACGACTCCCGAATGCTTCATACATCAACATCAACATCGCCTTGATCCCAACATCAAAATCAACTGAATGCTTCTTAGAATTTTCTTTTTCATATTTCACATGGGAAAGGTTAATCAGAGAACCCTAACATACGAGTGCGAAATTGAGCTCCCATAGAAAATTCTGGATCAAAATCTACAAAATTGATTACAGCAAAGCTCTCTACTACAATCGCGTTTCGATTCATATACTCGATGAATGTCATCATCGCAAAAATTTCCGAGTTCAACGTTAATTTCGGAAATCTCATACAAAATTATCCCGGCAAACCATTTACCCTAATCGATCGGCATGGCGATCACATTCGCATCGTTTGATTCCAATCACGCGAAACCCGGACGAGAGAGAGAGAAGGTACCTTCATTTTCAGTAACAGAGAGCTTGTGGTGACAACAGACGAGAAGTTCCACAGATTGATGACGACGATGATGTCGGAGAAGATGGTTAGCTAGCCAAGGTTAACAAGTGTAAAATGGCGCATGATAGCGGCGATTGCACGCTAAAGGGAATATCGTGTGCCTGCCTTTTCGCCCCCCATTTTCTCAACTTAAAACGGCACGCTTTTCTCTAGTGATTTGGCGCATGTTCGATCCACGTGGAAATTTTTTTTCCCCCTCCCAAACATCACAATTATTATATGACAATCTATACACCAATTTGCATTTATAGTATGAAATAATGCAAAAATTGTACCACAAGAAATAACCAATTCATAAGTTAACCTTTTTTTCTCTACAGATCTATTACACGCAGAACACGCATTGATTTTTTATAATATGGAGTAATGCATTGATTTTGGCAAATTTAATGAGCACCCAAATAAATAAAAAGTATGTTTCTAAAATACGTGGCCCTTATAGCTCAGTGGTAGAGCGTCAGTCTTGTAAACTGAAGGTCCGTAGTTCGATCCTGCGTGAGGGCATCTCTTTTTAATTATTATATATTTACGATTTTCACATTTCCCTCTGGAAATCGATGTCATTATTCACATCTTTTTTTTTTGGAATTATATATATATATATATATATACACACACACATTAATATCTATAAGGAATTCCATCTAATTAAGGTATTCCCTCGCCCTTTTTTCGCTCGAAGAAACGCAAACATATTTGTATTTGCCAGTTTTTAATATATGTATATGATGATGCGTTTGAAGAAGTTTTATTACTATTTTTGTGTAAGAAGACTACGATATGTTAACTGTGATGATGTTTTTTTTTATAAATCTTTTAGTAATAATTGTTATTCATATTCCCTCGAATAGAATTTAAGTTGACATTTATAAATTGTTATTCGTATATCATCGTATAATATCCCATTGAGATCATATATATCTCAAGGCAGAGAATATAAGAATTGCTACATGTAGTATAAAATACATTCAAATAAAATGGGAGAAAATGCCAAAAGGAAGATGAGAAATTCAACATTTATGAGGAGTGATGGTGACCGTCGATCACGCAGGGATTGACCGTCTGATTATCGAGATCTAGTTTTGGGAGACACGTGTAACGGATCGAGAGGTGTGGGACCCATGAGTCGTGAACGGGACGCTTCGCGACAAAACAAGGTGCATGAACCGCTTGGTCGTGGAGGCATTACCGAGCAGGGGATCCGATCCAAGAAGCGTTTGATCCAGATATCAGACAAGACTCGCCCTCCCATGTAGAGGAGATGAAAAGGGTGTTCAAGCTAGGACTGATGTGTACAAGCACATTGCCACATCACAGGCCGTCCATGAAGGAGGTTCTGCATATTCTACTCAAGACATGTCCGAAAGTGGCATAGTGGTCCAATGGATTTTGAGTCTGAGTTGAAAATCCTGTTAATTATCCGAACTGCCATCCTAGATAATATATATATATATATATATATATATATATATATATTTGTAATAGATTTTCACTATTCCTTCCATAATCCCCCTATATTTATGCTGTTATTGGGTTCGCCACTTATTTCTTAATATATCCATTTCCACCCCCTAAAATTCTAAATTCTCCAATTTACCCTAATCGTTTGTAATCAGTTAAGTTCTCCGTTAGGTGGTCATAAAGCCAATGACGTGTGGGAAAAAAATCCACATCACTGGAATTTTTCTTTTTTTAAGAAAATAGAAATAGAAGGAAAATAAATTAATAATATTATTAAGAAACTTCGGGGCCTAGGATAACCTCATAATTAACGGGAGTAGGAGAACAGTATCAGTAAGGGCCAAGGGCTAAATCAACCGAAATAAAAACATTAGGGTGGAATACGATAACCTCATAATTATAGGGGAGAATTAGAGCCATAAAATAAACTTGGGGGCCTTTAAGATCGAAGGTATGGGACCATTTTACCGAACTCCATAATAATCCAGAAAAATGTTCGTGCAACTATTGTGGTACTGTGTTGAGTGGGGCTTCATCATCTGGGACTAGTAGTTTAAAAAGTCACATAGTCAACACTTGCAAAGTGTACAAAAAACTTGTTGAGAATGGATCTCAAAAAGTTCTGGTACATGATAAGCAAGAAGATGGCGATACTAAGCTTATTGCAGTTGGCTTTAGTCAAGAGGCATGTAGAAGAGCAACTATTAATAGAAAAGAAACTATTAAGATGGTCATAATGGATGAGTTACCATTTGCTTTTGTGGAGGGTGCTGGATTCAAACTTTTTTGCAGTGTTGCTTGCCCTTCCGTTGTGATCCCTTCGAGGAAAGTAGTTGCAAAGGAAATCTATCAGTTTTTTCTGAGTGAGAAGGCTAGTCTGAAGGGATTGTTGAATGAGAACAAGCAAAGAATTTCTTTGACCATAGATATTTGGACTTCTATCACAACCGTGAGCGACATGGTTATCACTGCCCATTTTATTGATAGTACTTGGAGATTGGATAGGAAAATCATCGGTTTTGCACCTATATCAAATCATAAAGGGAGACGATTGCAAATCAGCTTGAGAGATGCTTGAAAGATTGGGATGTTGATAAAGTATTCACAATAACTGTGGATAGTGCTAGTGCAAACGACAGTGCTATTAAAATATTAAGGAAGAGACTGAGCACTTGGAATGACGATACGCTTGTGTTGAACGGTGATTTTATGCATATGCGTTGTGGAGCACACATTCTCAATTTAATTGTGAAAGAATGATTATCGGATGTGGGCGATAGTGTGATCAGCATTCGTAACGCAATTAAGTATGTGCGGTCATCGGATTCAAGATTGCAATCATTTCGAAGTCGAGTAAGAAGTGGTATATTTAGTAGAGGTAGTCTGGTTTTAGATTGCACTACTCGATGGAATTCAACATTTCTAATGTTGACTTCAGCTTTGAAGTACAAGGAAACATTTAGGCGGATGGAATTGGAAGATAAACTTTATGATGACTATTTCCGCGAATATGATGAATCTAGAATTGGAAAAAAAAGGATTGGACCTCCTTCAGAGAATGATTGGGATAATGCTCAACGATTGGTACGTGTCTTGAGAGTATTTTATGAATCGACTTTGGCATTTTCAGCTACAAAAAAAAGTAACTTCCAGTGGTTGCTATAATGAAATCCTAAGAGTTGAATCGGTTTTAGCAACGTTGATGAACAACTCTGATCATAACTTGAGTACGATGGCTGAGAGTATGAAGTGTTTCATACAAGTATGATAAGTATTGGGAAGGAACAGAAAAAATTAATAAGTTGCTGATTATAGCCTCTATGTTTGATCCGAGAAGCAAAATGACTTTTATAACGCATTGCTTTGAGAAATTATATGGTAAAGATAGTGTTAAGGCTGCTGAAGTGAAAAGGAACATTATGGATGTGTTGCGGAGATTGTTCGACTTATATTACACATGGTCCAAAGCTTCAGATGTTGTGGAGAGTGGAAGTAAACATTTATCGAATGGTGATATCAATTTATGTGTGATACCTACGGACCTTGATCTTGACATTGATTTAGAAAAATATGATAATCATTTTGCTTAATTTAGTCAAATGATAACACATGGAGGAGATGTCGAAGGATCACTTACTGAGTTAGATCTTTACTTGATGGAAAAACTTGAAGTGGTAAGATCTAACAACTTGAGTTTGGAGTTTGATATTCTATTGTGGTGGAAGATAAACAGTGGAAAATTTCCCATCTTGGCACAAATGGCGAAAGATATATTAGCATTTCCTGTTTCTACAGTTGCTTCTGAAGCTGCGTTTAGTACCGGATGTCGCATTTTAGATCAGTATCGGAGTTCTTTAAATCATGATATGGTTGAAGCGTTGATTCTTACACAAAATTGGCTACAATATCCACTTTTTTCCGATGCAACACGTAGCCTCAAAGACGTGATAGCAGAAAACGATTTTATGTTTAATATGATAGAAGGTATGTTTTCAATATATTTACTGTACTTACGAAAATATTTCGTAAATAAACTTTTTTCGATTATTTTGTTTTTGTGTTTTTATAGAACTTCGTGGAGAAATATAAACTTTATGATAACTTCTTATATTTTTTTTTATTCAAAATTTGTAATAATAAGATTAAGATCTATTATATACTTTATGTTTGTTTTATCACTTTGAAAGGTAGTACGTGGTTGAAGTATTTGGAAGCATTGCAAGAAAGAAGTGAAGATGAAAACGTTTTTGGTGAAACATCTTTGGAAGTATTTTGAAACATTATTTTTCTATGGATGTGTGGAATTTTTATCTATGTTTTGTTGGTATGTTGCAGGATTTTTATCTATGTTTTGTTGGTTTGCTTTTTATAATTTTTTAGTTATAACCGAACCGAACCGTACATAGCTGAACCGAATTAACCGATATCCGAACCGAACCAAACCCATTTAAATTAAATAACCGTTTGGTTATAGTTTTTATAAAACCGAAATAACCGAATCCGAAAATAACCAAACCGAATCCGAACCGAAACCCGATTAAGCCACCCCTAATTAACCCTTCTTAAGCAAGTTTTTTTTTAATCTGTAGGTTTACCGAACTTTTGACCCAACTATATCTTTCAAATGACCGAAAAAGTCCAGGTGAATGCTCCTCCCCACGTTTAGATTTAAATCTAGAATAAAAGTATGCTTTGCATATTCTCCTACAACTGAACCACCCAAATTTGGGTTTTTAAAACAAGTTTTATTATTATTATTATTATTATTATTATTATTATTATTATTATTATTATTATTATTATTATTATTATTATTATTATTATTATTATTATTATTATTATTATTATTATTATTATTATTATTATTAACTTTGGCAATCTATTATTTCAATCATATATATAGTATGTAGATTTTATTAAGAGATATAGAGAAGATTCGAGAAGATTACTTAATATTTAGATTGTTGAATCCGCAGATGTGGGATTCAGAAATTCAGACAGAATTTCCAAAAGAAAAGAAAATTTTTGAAGTGGGTTAAGTTGAGGCTTGTGTTAGACACAATCTCCTCAAGACGAAATTGCCCCGTTATCAAGTGGTTACGGTTTATGGCAATCGTCTCCAAGATAATTTTTTTTTTATCATTT